GCGTTCTCGCAAGGTGGCGCGCCCGCTCTTGCGAGAACGGGACGTTCTCGTAAGATGGCGCGCCCGCTCGTGCGAGAACGTGGACTTTCTCGCAAGGTGGCGCGCCCGCTCTTGCGAGAACGGGACGTTCTCGCAAGAAGGCGCGCCCGCTCTTGCCGCGCCCGCTCTTGCGAGAACGTGGGCGTTCTCGTAAGATGGCGCGCCCGCTCTTGCGAGAACGGGACGTTCTCGTAAGATGGCGCGCCCGCTCGTGCGAGAACGGGATTATTGAGTAGATCGGTTAGGAAGTCTTCTGCGGGAGTGGGCTTTTTAAGCGCATCATTGCGAGAGGGTTTCTTTGTGGCTTCTGATATTTTTCATGTGTTTCACGCCCCCTCCGAGGAGGGCTTGTCTTGTTGTTGTGCAGCAGCTTTGCAAAAATGGAGGAGGAGGAGGATCAGGAGGAGTAGGAGGAGGAGGAGGAGGAGGAGGAGGAGGAGGAGGAGGCAGGAAGAAGAAGAAGACGCAGGAAGGATGAGGAGGAGGAGGAGGAGGAGGAGGAGGAGGAGGAGGAGGAGGAGGAGTGGAGAAGGAGTGTAGGGTGGAGGAAGTAGAAGGAGGAGGAGGAGGAAGGAGGCGTGGAGGAGGAAGGAATGAGTACGGCAAGGAGGAGGAGAAGTTGTTGTCTGATGACAAGCCAGCGCTTGACCACCAACATGACCACCACCGCCATCTCACGGCGGCGTGCCGGGGTCGGAGTCCCTGCGCCGCGGCGGCGCGCGCTGGGCCGGGAGCGGGGCCACAGCGCCCAGCGGCGTGCGCGGGGCCGCCGCGTATTGGAACATGGGCACCCCGTCCGGGGTGAACAGCTCCACCCACCCGACCCTCCACCACCCGGCTGGCCACGTCACCTCGATCGGCACCTTGGCACCAGGGCAATGAGAACATCCTGGCCAGCAGGGTCCACCTCGACGACGCCAGTCTCGACCTCGTCGCCTCGCTCCACCAGCGTGCCGACCGCGCCCCCGTAGCTGCTCCGAGCGCGCACGCGCCTGGCAGCCCGACGGACTACCCCCGTGTCGCCGGGCTGCACCCACGCCGGGCCCCCTTCCTGTGGTGTCGCTGGCGGTGCAGCAGCTGGTGCAGCTGCTGTCGGTGCTGCTGGTGGCGGTGCTGCTGGCGGTGCAGCTGTCGGTGCTGCTGTCGGTGCTGCTGTCGATGCAGCTGTCGGTGCTGCTGTCGTTGCAGCTGGTGGTGGTGCCGCTGTCGGCGGCGCTGCTGATGGTGCCGCTGTTGGCGCAGCTGCTGTCGGTGCTGCTCGATTGGCCACTAGGCGCCTGGCGCGGCGCTGCTCCAGGATCAGCCTGTATCGAGCGTCGAACGACGACGGCGATGGCATACGGCCACCTGCGGGTCCAAATGGGCATGGCCCCCCCAAGAGGAATACGACAACGACAACGACGACGACAATGCCGACGACGACGACGACGACGACGACGACGACCCCCGCATAAAGATCTTCATTGAAGATCTTCACGCTGGGTGCCATTTGGGGGCCTCCAGATCGCTCACGAAGACCCCAGATGACCTCCAATAATACGGCCCACAAGGCCCCCAGAACAGTCCCGGAGGCCCTCTTATAGCCGTCTTGGGGCCCTCTTGGGAGTTTCGTAGGGCCCTCAGGCGGTTCCAAGACGGCCACGGGGAGCTCTAGACAAAAAGGCTTTTTGTCTAGAGCTTTTGGGTGGACCTCTCGGGGCCTTCTTGGAGCAGCCCTCTTGGAGCCGGGGCCCCTCTGGGAACCGTCTTGGGCCCTCTTGGAACCGTCTTGGGGGCGTCCAAGAGGGGCCTGAAGAGCCCCAAGATCGATCCAATATGGCTCTAAGAGAGCCCAAAACCAGATAGATCACTGGTCTATCTGGTCCGGGCCCCTGTTGGAGTCCCTCCGAGCTCCTCTGAGCTCCTCGGAGAGGCATACGACGGGCCCCAAAATGCCTCCAAGAGGGTCGTCAGATCCCCAAGATAGGTCCAAGAGGGTTCCAAGAGAACCGAAAAACAGATAGATCACTGATCTATTTGGTTTTGGCCTTTCTTCTTCTTCTTGGAGCCCCTTTCCGAGCTCCTCGGGGAGGCTTAAGAGAGGCCCCAGGAGGCCTTCAAGAGGGCCTTTCAGAGCCCCAAGATGGTCCAACAAAAGGGCTCCAAGAGGGCCGAAAACATATAGATAAGTGGTCCATCTGGAGTTGGACTGCCTTCTTGGAACCCTCTTCTTGGAGTCATCTGGGGGCCTTGAATCCTCTTGACGACATCGTCGTGGGGCCATGCCAACCCAGACCCGCTCGGTGCAGGAGGGCACGGCGCCGACGAAGCGGGTGGGCCTCGTCGGCCGGGTGGTGCGCGCGGCACCGCGACCAACGCCAAAATGGCTGGTGGTGATGCATGCAGGAGGAGGAGGAGGAGGATGAGGAGGAGGAAAAGGAGGAGTCGGGTGAAGGGGATCGAGGTGGAGCAGGTGGAGGGGGAGGAGGAGGGTTCCGAGGGTTCCGATTACGCGGCTGCTGTAGTCTACCAGCCCTGGGACGCAGCCCAGGCGCTGGCTGGGTGCCAGGCCAATGCCCAGCCGCCAGAGGAGCGGGATCCAGCGTGGCGACGAGGAACCCACACCACCCCAGAAAGACCAAAACAGCCGACGCCAAGACTGACGAATCCAGCCGCGGCGACGAGGGCCCACCCAAGGGCTAAGGCGACGAGGAGGCAGGGGACCAACGCCCCCTGCCCGAGCCACAGCCGACTCCGACTAAGCCTGAGCGCCGCCGCCGCCGTCGTCGTCGTCGTCGCCGTCGCAGAGCGGGGTCGGTACCTTGATGAGGGGGTGCGTCAGGAGTTATCACGCTCGGAATGGCTTCGGAGCCCCTCCACCAAATGCCTCCCCCCCCCAGAGCGAGGCCACTGGCTGCCTTGGCTCAGACGTCGGACGGAGGAGGGGCAAGACGACTGGGAGGAGGAGGAAGATGAGGAGGGGGAGGAGGAGGAAGAGGGGGAACCCAGTGGTATTCATATTATCGAGAGAAGAGGAGAGGAGAGTAGCATTCATAATATTAAAGAAGAGGAGAGCAGTATTCATAATGATGACATGAGAGGAGGAGATCGCATTCATTTACTAAAGGACGGTCTTGATGACCCCTAGCAGCAGTGCGGGGACCCCCTCCCGCCGCCAGAGTGGAGCGGATGGCTTTGGTCGGGGCTGATTGGGCAAGTTACTCGGCGGACACCGTCCGGGACTGATTGGACGCGTCGCTCGTCCACCGGAAGATCACGTTTCCCCGAACAGTGTTTGCGCTTTGGCGGTTCTTCCTAGTCTTACTTAACAACAACCGCATCGGGGCGATTCTCAACAATATCTACCATAACAAGCGCGGGCTGCACGCGCAAATGCTCAGAGCCAAGCTGCGCGCACAAATGCCCCAAGCCACGGGGGAATAATGATGCGCGGGCGCAGAAAAAAAACAAACGCACAACACCTACCATTCGAAACCAAACTACCAACCTACATCTTACTTAACATCCACTTTGACGGTTTTCAATGACGCCTACCACCATAAGAAACCATATTACCATATGGAACCAAACTACCACAACAATAGATTGCGCATAGTCGACTGCCCAACATAGGTTGCACAACATGGATTTCACACAAACAACATATTATTGTTGTTCGGGGTCCACGCTGGCAAAGAGATGGTAATGCTGCAAAAACGGCAAGGTCCCAGTGTGCCCTGCCCGCCGCCGCCCTCCACACAACAACATCCTGGGCCGCCCTCTCCTCGTCTTCCTCCTCCTTCTCTTCTTTTTTCCTCTTCCTCCTCTTCTGCATCTCCTCCTCCACCTCCCCCTCGGCGTCGTCTTCCGCCGTCCTCCGCCGCACCCCCTCCTCCTCCTGCGCTCGCCCGCCCCCCGCCCCCGTGCCATTTTGGCGCCCATCCCCCACCTCCGTCGTGCCAGAGGGGGCCTTCGGTCGGTTGAGGGCGTCGACTGCTATGATGATGGTTGGGGCGCGCTGGCCGCTCAGCCGACGCCCCCGACGACTGTTCTTAGTCCAGGGCACCGCCGCCCATCGGCATGCATCGAGCCCTCGGGGACGCCCCCGACTGTTCTAGGCCCAGGGCACCGCCGTCCATCGGCGATGCATCGAGCCCTCGGGGGCGCCCCCGACTGTTCTAGGCCCAGGGTACTGCCGTCCATCGGCGATGCATCGAGCCCTCGGGGACGCCCCCGACTGTTCTAGGCCCAGGGTACTGGCCTCCATCGGCGACGCATCGAGCCCTCGGGGACGCCCCCTACTGTTCTGGGGGCGTGGTGCGCCTGATGCATCTGCGATGTGCTGGACGTCTTCTGATGGCCAACCGCCCCCCTGGAATTAAGGCCGATTGTTTTCCAGACCTGGTACCCGCACCAGCCCTACAAACCAGTCGGGGGCGCCCCCGCCTGGTTTACACCAGGGGTACTGGGTCAGTGGGTTGTGTTCTAAGCTAGGGGTGCGCGCTATACATAGCGTACCCCTGCCGTAGAACAGGAGCAGCTGAGGGCGTACCCCTCGTGTAAACCAGTCGGGGGCGCCCCCGCCTGGTTTACGACCCTGGCACTGGTACCAGGTCCACAAAACAGGCAAATGCCTCTCGCACGACCCCCTCAGATGCCTGGGTTGCTCCGCAAGCGGGTGCATGGCGACCGCTCGCTCGGGCGGCAACGCCCTCTTCCGACCCCATGGCTACTTCGGCTCATCAGTCTCTCCAGCAGCACCTGCTACCGCCGCGCCCACGCCTCCTCCAGGGGCCCGCCCCGTCGAGCGTTGCCCAATGGCTGCCGCCAAGGGAGTCAAGAAGATCGCGAAGGCCAAGGCCAAGGCTCAGGCCCATGGCAAGAGCAAGGCCAAGGCCAAGGCCTGCCCACCAGGAGGAGGAGGGGGGGGCAGCAGCTCCAGCGGCGGCAACCCGCAGAGAGTGGAGAGTTTGATTCAAGAGCATGGGGTGAACTCGGCCGTCTTGGACGCGGTGCTCGACGCTCGTCAGACGATCTTGGACCAGCCTCTGTTCGGTGACGTCAGCGACGCGATGCCCGGCAACATCAGCGACGGCACCTCGCACATGGCGGCCTACAGCGAGGAGCAGGCCAACGGGGCGCTCGGGAGCGTCGGTACTTACATGGCTGGAGCGAATCTGTTCTGGATCGATCTGATGAACAATATCAACTCTGGGGTTCCCATCAGCATGAAATCGATAGATCAGCTCGTGGACAGGTTCTTCACGACGCCGCCTGCTGCGTTCCCTGGCACAGTCACAGTGGGTGTCATTTCGGGTGATGCCGTCAACGCGGCGGGTGGCAAGTTGGTCCGCATCAGCCCTGAGGAGATGCTGTACGCATACTTCGTCGGGGCAGCCAAGAGCATCTCGGCGAACCCGGGCGACGACGAGAACGTGTCCAAGTGGAAGCAGGTGGCGCTTTCGGTTCCCATGAGTTTCGTGCGGTGCGCAGACCAAGATGATCGCTATTGGAAGGCAGTCAACCTGAGGGAAGAGATCGGGACTCAATACGCCGCGATGTACAGGAGCGCGGTCCAGAGGATTTTTGAGTCGGTCAACTGGAAGAAGCGCATGGAGAAGCGCGATGGAATCACGAACATGTCAGTGAATGACGTGACGAAGGCATGGGAGTCAAATGTTACGGTCGCCTCCATCGGGGAAACCATCAACAGCGGCTTCATCGACGCGGCTCTCACGGTTTGGAACCGCATGCTCAGCGATCCCATCTGCCAGAAGATAATTCTCAAATCAGAAGAGGACTGGGGGAAAAGGACGCCGTGGGATTCGGTCTACAAGCTGGAGCTGGTCATCAAACGTTGCGGTAAAGATGGTGGAGAGACGTCCTTGATCAACATGCGCTGGGTGCTGGCGTCGGTGACTGACATGATATTGAACGAGTATGTGGTAGCGTCATTCTTTACGACGCGCAATCTCAATGGACGCGGTCAGCCTGGCAACAAGGGCATCCAAGACATCATATTGTATAAGATGGCGCTGAAGAACGAGTGCGCCAAGTACATGGTCGAGCTGAACTGTTTCAAGTCCGACGAGCTTGACATTGTTAACGAGTACCTGCGGTCGCACGAGGCCTACCGCAGCTTCTTCGGGTACGAGGGCGAGGTGGTCAGCCGCGCCTTCTTGAATCGCCACCCCCCGTGCCTGAGGCAGATCGTCCTCTACTTCGGGGACCCGGTGGTCTTCAAAATCTCCTCCGCGTCCTCCTCCTCCTCCTCCTCCTCCTCCTCCTCCTCCTCCTCCAAATGCTGCCCCACTCCTCCGCCGCCTCCCCATCCGTTGACCCCCTTTCCCATCTTTCCCCGTCTCCTCCTCTCTCTCGCCCTCCTCCTTCTCCTTCTCCTCCTTCTCCTCCCCCTCCCTTCCCCTCTGCGCATAAAGCTCCTGTGGAGAACTGCGGACCTCTGGGATAACTCTCTCCGCGAGCTCCTCCTCCTCCCCATCGGCATCATCCTCGCTCGCGCCTTCCCCCTCTGCGGCGGCACGCTGGGGGCGCCTTGCTGCCCTCCTTGTCGTCGCTGCCGGCCGCCCTCGAGGAAATCCTGGATTCGGGGGGAATGAGAGTGAGAAAAAAGGGAGGAGGATGATGCCCTTCGAGGAGGAGGGGCGGGCGGTGGCGGCGGGAAGAGGATGGCGCCCTTCGAAACGCCCCCCTCATCCTATCTGAAAGCTGATGCGACGATCCCCATCCACCACCACAACCACCTCCTCTTCCTCCTCCCCCGCCCCCTCCTCCTCCTTCTCCCCTTCTCGAGTGCTGCCCCCCTCCCCTTCTCATCTTGCACCTTGCCTCCTCGTTGCGCGCGCCGTATCGATTCCTCCCCCTGCTGCTGCGCGGGGGGGGGGCAAGGGATTAGGCCTCCAGCGGCCTCTATCGGAAAATCCCGCCGCTCAGATTTAGTGGCCCCCGAGGCTTCTGGCATGCGCACCCCTCGGGGTGCGGCCAAATTTTCTGCCCTCCACCACGCCCCCCCCCATCCCCCCCCCCCCTCCTCCCCCTCCCCCTTTTTAAAAAAAGAATATGATTCCGACCTGCGGCCGCCCCCCCCCCCCAGGACTTGACGTACGGGCAGAACAACGACGCCAACATCAAGCACGCCGTGAAGAACAACTTGCCAGTGAAAGAGTTTTTCGATCGACCGGAGATCAAGGAGACTATGGACAAGATGACGGAGGCCACGCAGACTTACTTCGGCACCGAGGCTCCAACGCAGCGCATGGTCCCCGCTGATGTTGCTTGCGAGGCTGAGGCGCACGGCGTGGCTACGGGTTTCGCCATGTCCAGGGAGTTGGTCGAGAGCATGACTAGCAGCGATAGGCAGCCAGATGGCATCAAGGAAGTCATCCAGAAACGGTTGAAGCTCGTTGAAAAAATCAATTCTTTGGCTGACGACGGCAAGGAGGATTTGAAGTCGTTGGAGAAGGCCGCCAGGCAGAAAGTCGCTGATTACGTGCAGCTCGTGGTCGAGTCCGGGAGCGCAACGAGCCTTTCGAAAATCATCGCCGATTCGCACGTCGGACAGCTGCGTGGCGACGGCGACGGCCAGAAGCAGATCTTGATCTTCTACGACAATAAGCAGGCGGGGGAGGCCCAGACGACCCCGCACTTGAGGATGCCCCCCCTGAAGGTTGAGCGCTTGAAGAAGTGCATCACGGCCGTGAACTTGACGCGCGACGGGGGCCAGGACTGCCTGGACGCCGGGGACCTTTGGCTCTTATTCGACGGCGGCGTCGCCGGGAACAGGTCCGTCATGTTGAACCAGATGCAGAATTCCGAGGGCAAGCCGCTGAACAAGTCCGTGTCCAATTTGTACCTGCACTACAGCGAGGACGCCATCGAGTCCAAGTACAGCAAGCTCAAGGACACCTCGAATCTTAACCAGTTGGAGTGCATCATGGTGGTAACCTGGGGGCGCTCAACAGAGCCCCCGATTATTCATCGGGCCAGCTCGGTCGGTGGAACAGGCGTTTTGTGCTGAGTTGTCCTGGGCCGCCCTCAGGGCGGCCTCCAGGGCGGTCCAGGGCTTTATTATTGCTGCTGAAGCACGTCTGACCCCAGTGGGGTCAGACGTGCTTCAGCAGCAATAACAAGGCCCCTGCCTCCATTGTTGCTTCGTTCTCTCCTCCTCATCTTCCTCGTTATTCCCCCCTCCACCTCCGCCTCGTCCTCTCTCCCCTCCCCCACCTCCGCCCCGGCATCGTCATCTCGCCCCTCTCTCATCTTCCCCCCCCCCAACTCCTCCGTCTCCGTCGTCTCTGCTGCCTCATCTGCTGCCCAAGGTATGTGGGGGCCAGTATCGCCCGCCGAAGAAGCCCAGGAAGCATTTCACGAAATCTTCTACTGTCGGCACGGTGATCGGACCAGTCGGCATCCCCCAGGTCGGGGAGCAATGGATCCTATCGTTCGGTCACAAGAAGGCCATGTACGGCAGTCTCCGGGCTGCAGTGGGCGGCGCGTGCGAGGAGAAGGATAAGGAGGCTGGGAAGAGGAAGCGCGCCGACGACGACTTCGAACCTGCGTCATATCATGGGATGCTCCCCCAGATCCCCTCTGAGATGTTGCACACCTTCCCGCACAAGGGCGTGATTGATTTCACGGGGTCGACGCCTGAGCTCGCGCTCGAGTGCATTCTGGACGAGACCTGTTACTTGGGAGTGCGCTACGCCGAGGAGCACGCGGATTTGCTCAGGCCACGCGCGGCGGCGCTTGACAATCCCGCTCTGCTTTTCCCTCCGCCCCCCCCATCCCCCCGACCCCCCAGGGCCGCCAGGGGAGTGCGGGAGGAGGAGGAAGAGGAGGAGGAGGAGTATGGGATGAGGATGAGTACGACGAGGAGGAGGAGGAGGAACAGTAACAGCTTCCCACTGGCAGTAAAGTTCCCCCCTTGCGCCACACTGTACAAGAGCCCCTGGTCCTGGAAGCCGCCCCCTCCCTCCGTCCGGCGGCGGAGCGCCGTCCTGGCGCTCTGCGGGCCCGCGGTCTCCGGCACTGCTCCTGGCGGCGGCGCGGCCCTCCTCACCAGTCACCCCCTCCTCGGCACTCACCACCTCTCTGAGAGCGGCTTATTCCCAGACAGTGGTTGCACTTAGAAGATGCGTCTTACTCGTGTTGAACATCTCCGGGTGACGGGCCCCCCCTGGCGCCCGCCGCGCCGCCCGTCGCCGCCGTCGCCGCCGCCGTATTATCATTGGACGACCTCTTTCGTCCCATCGCCTCCCCCTCCCTCATCCCTCCTCCTCCCCCCCCCCCCTCGTCGTGCGAGTCAGCATTTGGCGCACCGCATCTTCCTCATGTACCTGGACAGCAACAGCCCCCTGTACAAGCCGAACGCCGCGAAGCTGTTCAAGGGCGCCACGCAGGGGGGCGGCGACGAGGGCGACGATGGCGAGGGCCCCGAAGAGGAGGATCCGGAGGAGGAGGACCTGGAGGAGGATGAGGACCCAGATGGTGGTGATGGCGGCGGTGCGCCGGCGGCGAAAACCAAGGCAAAGGGGGGGAAGGCCAAGGCGAAGGGGAAGGTCAGAGCTAAGGGCAAGGCGAAGGGGGCGGGTGGCAGCCGCGCTGACTTGCTCAACCGTCTGGCGGAGCTCGGCGAGGGCTCTGAGGAGTGAGGATGCTACGGTGATCTGGCAGCAAGGCGCCCCGTCCACATTGCAGCCGGTGATCTGGCAGCTGGGTGATCTGCTGCTGGCAGCAGGGTGATCTGGCCGCCGCCTCGTTCCGGAGCCCCGTCCACGTCGCAGCGCAGGTTTTGTTTCTCTTGGCCAGCTTCTCCTTGGCGCCATTTCCGCCCGCCTGGGTTTTGGCGGGCGCTGGTGGCGCGCTAGGATGGCTGGCAGCTGTCGCGATGATGAAGCAGCAGGCGGGTTGGCTGCTGAGGTTTCTTCTTTTTTTCGGTTGCGGAATTAGCCCCCTTCTTGACTGGTGGAGGATGCTAGCAGCGCTCTCTAAACAAACTGGCCTGCACGCGTCGCGTGCAGAACGACTGACCCCCCCCCCCTGCGAGGCAGATTCAAACCGATCCCCGCCCCGCCCTTCTCCCGGCAGGAAGCTGCGGGCGCTGCTGTCCATTTCGCGTATCCTGCAGGCGCGAAGAGTCGGCACGTGAGGTGCTTGCTCCTGACTGCGCCTGCGTGTGATGTGGGATGCAATCGTAGAGCTCCTCCTGATGATTGCATTGCGTAGTATTCCCCCCTCCCTCCTCCCCTCCTCCGACGACGACAGTGCGACCTCCGCTTATCCCCCATCTCCCCGTCTCCTCCTCTCCAAAGAGGATGACCCGCCCTCCCCGCCGGGCGTCATTGGCGGGGCAGCTTGGTTTGCGTCATGCGTGCGATCGCCTCCGTCGGAGTCGAAGACACAGCCGAAGAGAAGAATGAGGAGGGAGAAGATGAGGATGAGGATGAGGAGGTGGGGTTGTAGGATGTTGAGTGAGAATCAGACCACACCTCCTCCTCCGTCTCCTTGTTCCTCCGCCTCCTCCTCGGCCACCTCCCCCCCCTCTCCCTCCTTCGACTGATCTCGGAGACGCCGCCGCTCAGCGTGAGGCGGACTGATGAACCGAAAACCGATGTGAAACCTGGTCTGTTCGCACATTTCTGGAGTGGCTCGTGAGTAAGTAATTCGCGAGGAAGTCTCATGCGGGGCGCCTCTCTCCTCCCGGTAGTCATCTGCGGGTGTCGGTAGTAGCTCCCGTCGCCGCCCGCCCCTTGCCGCCGCCCGTCATTGGGCGCCCATGCTCGAGTCCACCTCCCATCGTCGTCGTCTAGGCCATCCTACTACTAGGAGACTCGAGGCCCCGCCATGGAGGCGACGGATAACTGGGATGAGATGATGGCGGAGCTGGCCCTGTTCACCGCCGCGCTTGATCGGCTTGGAATCGGCAGCGCCCTCGCCGTGCTGGACGCCCTCGTCCTCGCCGGGCATTGGCGAGGCCGAACGCGATCCCGGGCTGCTCTGCAGCCTGCTGGCGAGGGCGCCGTTGATTCCAAGCCGCTCGAGCGTGGTGGCAAGCAGGGCGCTGAAGAGGGAGACGGCGGTGATGGACCGAATGATGAGCGCGTCAACAACGACGAGCAGCCTAGCGGGAGCAGCCAACAACATCACAGCAAGGAGGAGCATCAGCACGGCGGAGAGCATCACGACAACATTGAACATCACGATGCACGCAAAAGACGCAAAATCTATGATGACTTCTTGCAGCAATGCATCTGGTGGGATACCCCCGCAGAAACCGATAGACGTTTGCAAGCGCGGGCAGACACGGCCCTTAACAACTTGCGCCTGAGGATCAAGGAGGAGAGACAGAGAGAGAGAGAGAGAGAGAGAGAGAGAGAGAGAGAGAGAGAGAGAGAGAGAGAGAGAAGGAGGCGACGCGGGGAGGTTGGGCCCCTCCTCGTGACAGAGGCCGCCGGGCGGTCCCACATCGAACTTCAGCTCTTGATCTCTGCCCGGGCGGGGGGGGGGCCAGGATAGGGTTGCTCGTCGCCGCGGCTGGATCCGCCTCGAAATAACGGCGTGCGTCGCACGCGCTGACGCATGGTTTAGATTGACCGTCGGCCCAGATCATCTGTTCTCCCTCGGGGTGCAGCAATCGACGGTGCGCGACCTTCTGACGGCCAACCCGCAAGGCGATAACACTTCCCCTTTGCGCCGCATGGTGGAGGATGATCCCTGCTGATGCCGCTGGGGAGAACGGCTGCCCCCGAGCGAGCGCGGGCGGTGAAATGCCGTCGAGCTCTGTCCGTTTTCCTTCTGTCCTCCTCCTCCTGGCGGCCCCTCGTCGTCGTCGTCCTCCTCCTCCTGGCAGCCCCTCGTCGTCGTCGCCCCCCTCGTCGTCCTCGTCGCCCTCCCCCCCGTCGTCCTCGTCCTCTTCGAGCCGACTTTGAAGCGGAGGAAGAGGCGTCGCTCTTCCTTTTCGGCGGTGCCTCCAGCTCCACCGCCCCCAGGGCGGAGGAGAATTTCGCCAGGCGCGGCCGGGCGCGCGAGGCCCCCCGAACATCGGAGGTCGAGCCGCCCGGGGGGCCTGCTGGACTGACGAGCCCCCTGCTGATGATGGGTGGCGGTCGTTAGGGGACGAGGCCAGGGCGAAGGCGAGGATGGGGGATGGGCGACGATGAAATGTAGGAGGGCGGAGGAGGGCGAGGAAGAAGAGGAGGGGGAGGATGGGGGGGAGGGAGGCGGCGGCGGAGGAGGAGGAGGAGGAGAGGAGAAGCAGGTCGAGAGGAGGAGGGCGATTCGGACGATGACGAAGAAGAACGATGAGTTTTGCAAACCCCGCGTTTTTTGTCAACCACCACCGCCGCCAATGCAAATGTACAAGTACGAATAGCGAATGTTCCGAATCTGAAGACCGCGCGCGTCGTCTACCTTATTATTCATGTTCGACCCTAGTGCTAAATTAATTGCAGTCTTCTCAGCAGCCGCGCACTCGCGGTCAGGCAACGCTGCAATTACATGCATCACGCTGTAATCCAACCGATGCGGGCGCAGCTTGTCGCGACGGCGACGGCCTTCGCCGTCGTCATTCTCGAGGAAGCCAGCGCCGCCTACAAACCTCCACTGAGGATCGGACGTCGTGCCGATGTAAACTGGGCGGCGCTTCGCGCCCTTAAGAAGGTATTTCAAGCGGGCGCGCCACTCGTCAGCATGGACGTCCAGCAGCGGCTGGTGCACCACAATCCTGATGTCTAGATCTCGGCACTGCATGCGCACGTCCTCGCGCGCCATCTCCCATAGTTGATGGCGCCGCGCCTCGCGGGACCGCGAGCGCATCCTACGCATGGCGGGACCTACTGCGACGCCCGGCTGCGGGCCTCCAGCCGCAGCACCAGCACCATCAGCAGGAATGCATCTGTCGCCATCGCCGCCCTCGTCGTCGCTGATGG